TTCGTTCATGATTCGCGCATCACTAGTCCGTGCACAGTTGAGACTGCCCCCTGCTGTTAGCTCCTATGTCGTCGGCAGAAAGCAGACGGAGCAACTTGAAGTTAGCTTTCCATGCAAACTGACAAAAGTAGTACCGGGACACTGACTGCTAGTTTTTACACACTTCGATGGACACTGTTCAGGTTTGTGAGTCTTTTAAAGTGCTTAAGTTGACGTGAGCTAGCGTTAGCCTCAACTGCTTTAACCAGGGCAGCGTCAGTTATCTGCAAGGTGACCAACAAACCGCCGTTTGAGGTACTTTTCGTTTATACCTGGTGTGTCTTTGGTGCACAGAAAGCGATGGCTGGGTTTTCTCTGGACCTTGGACCGCTGAAGGAACCTTTGGGATTTATTCGTGTCCTCGAATGGGTAAGCACTGTCACAAACATGTCTTTGTACATTATTCATCCCAATCAGCGTGAAGGGTCGAATATTCGCTGCGACGTCTCCTAGGAGTCCATTTATCCTGGTACCAGTAATGAAACTGGTACCAGTATTCAAGAAGAGAGCTTGAATAACTAACTTTAAACTTCTTCTGTCTTGTCGACGTTAAGTTTTATAACACCGACCTTGCTCATTTTGCTCATGTTAACCTAGAACAGGGTGTCGGCTTTTATCACACCATAAAACCTGATTATGTGTAGGACTGGGCAATGTGGCACTCCCACTGTGGCACTCCCAGTTGGTACCTGCTGTTGTTGAACCGTGGGGTGAATTTGATGTGGAGTGGCAGCTGCTCGGCTTGTGTTGGAACAAGCTGTAAATGTCACTTGTGTTTGAGAGAAACTGCCCTTTGATTCTGAGTAGACTGAATATGAAGGAAACGCATTAGGATTGAGCCCTCTGCACAGATCCACGCGCGGACTTGTTTAAATGACTATAAGGTCGGTTTGTTGACAGACGGGTGTTAAAAGCAGCAGCTCTCATAGCTGATTATAAATGGGTTTGTTTTGTTACAGCTGTTTAACACTGACCTGTGAATCATTCAAGCACAAGCAGCATTATGTCTACAGGCAACAAATGATCCAATAACCAAACTTACATTATATCTATAAACCCTTTGTTTCCTAACAGCTTGACACAAAAGCCCATAAATACAGTATTGTGTTTATTATTGACAATATTTTGAGTTATTTGCTTGCCAGACATTCTAATCTGAAAGAAGAGAAACAGCCTGGAAGAAGAGAAACAAAGCCTCCTACACCCATTCGTACGTGTGCTGTCTAACATTTGAATAGTAAATTTGTGCATTGGAGGAGAACCTGAGGTTGAGTATCTCACCCAGCAAGCTTTGGCATTCAGAGCTGGCACTGGAGCCACCGGGAATCAAACCATCAACCTTGCAGTTAGTGTTTACCTGCCCTAGCTCCTGAGCTACAGCTAGCAGAGATTTGTTTGTGCTGTGTTCAGAGCTGATGTTGTGTAGTTTGTAATTGCATTTGTTTTACATATTTAAGGCAGACAGTCAACACCAGTGTGAACTCTCTGAAGTTAACACAGAGGACAGTTATTTGTGCTTTTTGTTATTAGGGCTGTGCGATACGACCAAAACCTCATATCCTGATATAAGACATCTATCGTCTGATAACGATTTAAATCACAAACATGTAACATTTTCTGTAAACTCTGTGAATCTCAGCAGCTCGACTTGTGTGAAGTGTTTCCAGCTGCGCGTCATGTAGCTGAGTCGAGTGTTTTAACCGATGCATGAAACATTTTTAGACATAAGTTGTAACGGCGCCGTTTTCTTTCAAAGTTTGAGTCTAAGGTTTATTTTTTAGCACCTGGCGGCTCTTTGTTGCTTCTCATCCGTAAACTCTCTGCATCTTTGACGTGATTCAGTTTCTTTTGAAAAGTCTCAACAGGATCTTGAGCTTTATTGTGAAAGGTTTACGTGGAAAACAAACAAGCGGACAGCAGAGCCACGTGATGGTGTTACCGTCGTTGTTGCTAATGACAACGCATAAAAACAGGCGCTTGTGCGTCCGTAGTGTTGTTATATTAAATATAAGAGAAAGAGAGAACTTTAATAAATTAATAATAACTACAGTGACCATCAGAACATGAAAACAGCTGTAAACAGTTTATTTTGCGACACCACGAAACAAACGAGAGCGTAAAATGAAACAATGTTTTTATATCATCATCCGATACATATCGTTACACCGAACAGCCCTAGCTACACCTGATATGTAGACTCGGACAATAATTACATCATCTGTGGGTCATCGTCTTAAAAAGACACGATTTTTTTGGCTTTTCAAACTCTTCCCAATCTTTCCCAAATCTTTGAGAGGAAGGGAAGCTCTGAGATAGGCTGAAGAGGACCGAGGAATCGAGGATATCTTTTTTAAAAGATTTGTTGGAACAACATCATTTGGACAAGATGACGTCTTCATGCCATCACATAGTTCCTCCAGCTGATCAAGGCACACGGCTCAGACTGATCAAAACCAGCCGTGTGAGGGCAGCTGTTTTATCTTACTGATAACAAACTGAACTGTTAAGCTGGGAATATTCAGAGCAGAGTCAGTCATTGAAAAAAGACCCAGAGGATTGTTGGAGCTCAACAACACCAGAAAAACATTTTCTGCTTTCACAGACGGTCGCTCAGGATGGGAAACGCCGTCTTTCCGCTTGCGTTCAGCCCGCTCGCTCGTCTGGCTGAACGAGCGGTGTCGTTTATCCACGGGTCCGATTGTGGTTTCACACTCATAGTTTGTAAAGCGCCATTGCCGGTCCCAAGCCCGGATGAGAAAGGAGGAGGGTTGGGCGTGGGGCTAGCAACCCCACCCTGTAAAAACTGCTACGGAAACAGCAAGTGAATCTCATTATGGACTGAATCAGGGCGAAGATGATCGGCAACCCTTCATGACGGCAGTGGAGAAAAGCCCTCGGGTCGTCCACTGCCCGATGCGTCGACCAATTTTCGACCCAAAAGAAACGACTAGTTTGTAAAGCAGCAACTCATCAAGGACAGTTTTGCATTATTATAAAAATGAGATGTACCAAAGCCGAGGGGAGAAACGTTTTTAAAAGCAATAGAAAGTTGTTGTGTTGCAGATGGGTTAAACACACTACAACCATGAGGTGTGAGATAAAAATATATCAAACACAACAGGACAGTGATCAGAAAAAACAGCGTCACATGTTTTCATGTTTAGGACCGGTAACCGTGGAGACAGCACAAGATCCGCCGTATGAGCCTGTTCAGGCCCCGACACAGACAGTCAGACTGATCTGTGGCCAGCAGACTGGAGGGACAAACATGATTGATCAAAGGTACGAGCTAAGAAGTTAAAAAAGTCTTGGATGAAGTCCCTGGGATATTACAGAGGTCTGTATACAGCTGCACGGGTGTCGGGCGGGGATGGTTGCAGGCCACTCCACCACCACGCGCAGTCATCCTCAGCAGATCTTCACAGTCAGAAGGTAAAAGTAAAACAGCTGGACTCCCCGGCTCTCTGCCAGGTTTCCCTCACCAGCACCAGATCCAGCTCCCCGTTAGTGAAGAAGATTAGTGTTCATGAGCGAGCGAACTTCAGTGGCACCGATGTGGGTGTCCGACCTGTCGGCCGTAGGCTTTACTCCACCCGAGCCAAGACGGGTGTTTAACGTGTTCTGTGGTGTGTGGGGAGACGTTCACGTGCAGAGATACTCTTCATTTGCAGTGGAAGAACTTGGTGGTGCATCCTCCTGGTTAAATGTAAATCACTGTTCCTCTGTCCTTGGAGTCTTTCTGACAGCAAACAACACTGACACTGTTTTATCTCCTGCATGAGGAGGTGTGTGTTCATGTTTATGAGCATGTGTGTGAGGCTGTAAATCCTGTGTGCGCTCGGAGCTTTGCCCTGTGCTTCAGACTTTCACTGCTGAAAACCAGCCTCAGGCCCGTGGCTCAGACTGACCATCTGTATTTGTGTTGTGAACAAAGCTTTTTATAAAATATCTCAAATATACTTTCAGTCTGGAAAGTGTTCTCGTACATGCCACGGACACTTCCAGTCTTTGCTTCCATGTAACATGGGACGCTGCTGTCAGCCTTAGCCTTAAGATTGTGTTTGTTCAGCTGCTCTTTTGTAAATGGACACGATGTTCTTGAGAGGTTTCAGTCTGGTCTTCAGGCTCTTCACAGCACTGACACTGCACTTTTAAAAGATCTTAGTGATCAAAGGCCTTTGATACTGTTGACCACAGCATCTTGGTCTCACGCCTGCAGCATCAAGGCTTCCCCATTGGAGTGGTTCGTGCCCGTTTGACAGGACTTTCTCTGTGAACTTTGGAGACCTCAGCTCCCCTGAGTTGTGGCGTTCTTCAGGGATGTATACTGGGGCCAATGTTATTCTCTACCTATATGCTGCCTCTGGGTCTAATTTCAGCAAATATAACACTTGTTTCCATTCACACGCCGAGGACACTCAGATCTACCTCCAACTGAAGAGAAGCTGTCCTGCCCCACTCGAGCCCTTACCTCGTTGTCTCAGTGAAGCCTGGATGGCCTCTAACTTTCTTAACTTTAATGAGAACAAAACCAAAGTGTTTGTACTACGTGGTAATCCCAGCACCTCTTATTTGAACCTGCACAGCTTTGAGCCTTTTATTGAGTCGCATGCCAAAAATGTGAGGGTTGTATTTGGCAATAATCTCACCTTTGAAAAGCAGAGTAGCTCAGTTGTTTTTCAAACTGAGGCTTGTATCTAATGTGAACGAGCTTTGAACGAGCGATCTATGCTTTTACTACAGCTGGACTATTGTAACTCCCAATATGCCAGAGTTAGTCGGACTCGCCTTACAAGACTGACGGCCCAGCACGCTGCAGCTCGTCAGCTGACACAACCTAGAAGACGTGAACGGTGCAACTTAGACACCACATGGTTGAATAAACACTGGTTTTTGAAGGTTATTCGAACGTATCGTGATATATATCGTGTACTGTGATACAGTCAAAGAAATATGGTGATATTAGATTCCTCATATTGCCCAGCCCTACTCTGAAGCTCTCCTGAATGACTGAACTCCACCTATCACAGAATACATCCACCTTTCCAACAAAGGCGTGGGTCTTAGACGTCCAGTAGTGTTAACAATAAGATCCAGCTAGAGTAACAGATTCATGTCCATGTAACATGGGACGCTGCTGTCAGCCTTAGCCCCCCCCCCAAATGACTCAACTCCTCACCCTGCTGCTAACGCAGAGGCCCTTGTATCCGCAGTGTCGTTCTAATCGTGTTAACAAAAGATGAACCTAGACGAACACATCGATGGCGTTTCTCAACAGCGGTGAAGAATGGCTGCATAACATTTAACGCCAAAATGTGCCAGCATGGGGCATCAAATAACCCTGTACCAATTAGATTACACGACTGATA